CCAGCATGATATTTATAGTGAAAATGGTTGATTGAAACAACCGTAAGGAAATCAGCATCCAAAATGTATCATATGACCTATTTTCAGTGGAGTGTTTTATGGTTTTGGTACTTTGCTTTGGCAGATGCTTTGGGCTACTACATAACTAGTGTCTCTACTGTCTCTTCTGTCTCTTTGATATTCCATCTGTGTTTAGCACTCTCTTCATTTACAAAGGCAGAGTAACTTGGTTGGATCACCGGATTGATCTCAGAGGGAGTCCGCAGCAGCAGAGGTCCATCGGGGTGAGAAATCACCCCACAAACATTGCCATTTCACAAACTCAGCGTGGTCTCAGGAAGCTGGTGTGCATTTATGTGCACACAAGAGAAAGAGCAGCATTACGAAATGGACAGCATTTCATTTTAATGTGTGTTTTCAAACAAGGATTTGTTCTTTTTGTATGTGTTCTGTGCCAAACTCTGTGTGTGAGAAAGAAGTGGTTGGGAGGTAAATAATGTAAAGTCATCAAGGATCTCAGAAAACTTGGGAGACTTAGCCAAAAAAAAATTGGCTGAGAAATTATCATAAATGGCCTTGATGAGATTTAATTGGAGATTGAATAGAAGAAAGACCGCGAGAGGACAGAGAAGCGCAGTGAAGGTGAGCTGGAGTGACTGTCTATTGAAGTGATCCTGCGTTCTCTGTCTAACTGTTAATGGCTGGTGAAAGTAGGCCAGTGTTTCTTTTATTATGGCCCACAGATCTCTAATGTCTTTGATGCAGGGCAGCTTTTTTTCTCTCTCTCTATACACAGGTACACGCATTTGTTCTCTCACTTACTGATAAGATATCATTTGGAATGGCGCTGGCCTTTTTGGAGCCAGGAGCTTAGTGGCCTTATTTTCACCTATAAACAGAGGCAGGCGATTGCACTCAGGGACCCTGCAGCTCTGGTTGTGCTGAACTTACTACGAGTCTCTCTCTGTCAGTCTGTGTTCTTTCTGCCTCAGAAGTCACTCTCTCACATATTTGTCTGCACTCCAACAAGTATTATTGTTTTCCCTTCCTACTTTTGTGTGCTAGCTGTGTGAGCTGCTCTTGCTTGCTAGCTCGTCTCTGTTTTACACACACACACACACACATACATACATACATACATACATACATACATACATATCCATCCAGGGATGCCGGAGGATCAGCTTCCACTTTAATCTAGGAAATAATTCCATTTCACATTAGCGTAATTAATTGGGAGTTTACTGCAGCACGAAAATGTAGAGGACTGATGTGTGCTCAACGTGTGGTCTTACTCTGTGTGTGTGTGTGTGTGTGTGTGTGTGTGTGTGTGTGTGTGTGTGTGTGTGTGTGTGTGAGTGTACAGAGTGCTGAAATAGTGTTATGGCTGGCTGATTAGCATAGTCGTTATAAAATTATTGCCTCACGCTTGAAATGACTGACAACGTGAATAACTCCGTTCTGCAGGTTACTTTGAGTGTAAAGTAAATGGTGTTTTCCAGATTACTGTATGCTGCTACAAGATCTGTTTTCATTGTTTGGTAAAAAGTAAATGTCATTCGTCAATTCAATTTTGAATCCGATATGCTGTGTTGAAGAATGATGGTCATTCTTTGGTCTTTCTTATGTTCTTTCTAAAATATGCAGCCAGCTCTGCATGTTCATGTATAAAAAACAGAAATAGGCTACTGTTTGTGAAAAATAATATTGTCTTTACAATATATAATGCTTGTTTTAAAAATAAATAATCAGCTTCTTTTGTCATTGTACTGTGTTGTACTAAAACCAAAAGAAATTGTGAAAATTAGGTCAAAAATATTTACTTTAGTTCACAACATCCTTTTTTTCACCTACTGTTAGAGTAATTTTAGGTATTTATATACCCAAAGAGAACATTTTCAATTCAATTCAGTTCACCCACCTGCGTCTCGTCAGTCAGTATGAACACTTTATACTCTTATTCAGCTCCAGCACAGAGTAGCTGTGGGTGTTGGTGAGCTCAAATCCAAATCATTTCAAGCCAGATGCCATTCGGCCAATTCAAAGCATATTATGTTATGTTGTGTTTTGTGAGGTGTGGGGTGTTGTGTGTTGTGTTATATATGTTATGTTATATTATAAAGATCTAAATTAAGCTACACTGAATTAAATTGACATACATTGAACACTTTTGTGAACAATTCAATTCAATTGTATTTTTACACTTGTATTTTTTTATAGCAGTTTTCACAATGAATATCATTCTAAAGCAGTTTCACATAGAAGATTGCCTTGGGCAACAATGACAAGGAAAAATTGGTTGTAATGAAGGAGAGATGAACACTAAATTATATGCAGATTTGCTTTTATTTTTTTAAATAAAATGAATTACATTTTTAATTAATTTATTCTTTTTTATCAAAAGAGCCTATCAATAGATGAAGTAATCACAATTAACATAATTTCTTACCAGATTTCTGAATCAGAATGACAGTAATGTACAATTACTTTTTTTTTTTTTTTTTTTTACTTCACTCATTTCTTTCCCCTTTTTTCAACAGACGTTTTCCCACAGACGACCTAGTATCTCTTTGCGGCCCATTGGACCACAGTATAAAGTCCCCTAATCGAATTGATTATGCTTTCCTTTTATATTGTTTTGTGGCATTTGGCAATATAAAAGCAATTAAAAGCAGCCATAGTATGTTACCTTCATATAATGACTTTTGGATTAAGTAAGTGATTACATTTTAGTAAATAATATACAGGAATTTATTTTCAAAATATCCCTCCCATATCTGGTCACGTTGTTACTCACTGTTTGTACTGTACTGTGTGTTGTATTCCAAGTAGCCTGTATGTTCATGCAGGTAATGTGTTTCCTTACAGGTTACTTTCTGAAGTAGTTTGTTTTTCTTTTTTCTTTTATTACCCAAGATACATTAGGGGAAGAATTTATAGAATTCTACCTTTTTAAGATAAAATTTTGTTGATCAAATACAATTTTGTATTCAGTCAAATCATTTTGAATTGGCAAAATTTCTCTTTGAATCAAATAAAAATGTGAATTGAATCAATTCACTGTTATGAACCCTTTTTGCTGATCATTTTCTTTTGGGTTTCTTTCTTTCACACTTTCTTTTGTTCATCAGAAGTTGTGACATCATCTCTCTCTCTCTCTCTCTCTCTCTCTCTCTCTCTCCTCCTCCTCTCCCTCACTAATTAGAGAAGCCCATATCCGTGGAGCTGAGCTGTGGTGCTGGTCCTGTCCATGTGGTTCTGGAGCCTGATCACCCTCTGCTACTGGAATGCCACCTGGGGGCCAGTGAGCCCCCCCTCAACGTGACCTGGCTGCGGGATGGGGTGGTTGTCTCAGAAAGCCAGACCATCCGGCCTTTGCCCAACGGATCTCTACTCATCTTGCCCTCTTCCACGGATGGCCAGGCTCCAGCGGGTGTGGAGGGCGGATACAGTTGCCTAAGTACCAGCTCGACAGGAGCGCTGACCAGCCGGGCTCTCACCCTGCATCTCGCCAGTGAGTATAAACACTTTCTTACTCTTATTTATGTCCAACACACAGCAGTTGTGTGTCTAAGAGTGATCAAAGAACCAGATTTTTTTCAAACTTTAGAGACCAGCCAACGTTCAGGTTTTTGGTTGTGTGTTTTGTTTTTAAATCCGCATCATCTGGAAAGCATCACATTCTAATTACTGTGTATGCATATCTGATAAACATCTACATCTGATAAGTTTTAATGTTCATGTGTTTCCTGCCGTTCCCAGTGTTGGATGTACCCTGAGTTTCCTTTATTAAAGACTGTTTCGTTTATTTCTATCTCCATCGTTCCTCACCATCACAGATTGTGACAGAAGAACCGACCAAAAACAGTTACCTCCGTGTTTTCCCCTCCGTTTGTTTTCTCGTTTTTCTCGGTGTTTTTGTTTCCATTATTGTTCCCTGATGGATGCCCTTCTTCGCCCCGAATTCCTCCTCCTCCCAAAGCTCTCGAGGACCATACTAGACTGTTCCAGCTGCTAACAAGTACCACCAGCTTACCCGGACGACGCGCTCTGTGCGTTCTACGATGCCAGTCTAAACATCGAGTGCAGAGCGATTCTGACGAGACACGGGTCACCTCTCA